GTTGGCTTTCTATGTGCTTCGTTTCGTGCCGGCCGCTTTGCTGGTTCAGGAGCTGATTTCCAGTTGCAGAGTGGAAGAGCCCGGAGTGATGCGTTTCTACCTGTCTAAAAGCAAGCCAGCCTCGGGAGTCGGGTTAAGAATGAGTTTGTGGTGAACAGCCCAGCACTGAGGGTGCTGGAGGCAGCTCCCTGAGCCGTAACACTGTAAACTTACCTGTTGGCTCTCGGAATATGCAGGAGAAACGGCTTGCAGCTTTGTAAAGCTATAAAAAGTGGTAAAACCCGGAGCAAGTCCGTTTAAGTTAACTTCTTGTATAAAACCAGGATCTCATGGAACAGAGATATGTTGGAGCTGTTTGCTGTGGTGGGCAAGTTGTAGCAAGAGTTGGCAAAGTATCTTGCCAAGCTGTCGCAGACCTCTTGTTTAAACAGAAGGTGATGGATGAGTAGGTTGTGTGTGCCCTAGATGCTGCTTTATGTCTTAAAATCCGTTCTTTGTATGTGCCTGGCAGTCTGGTCTGCTTGAGAGAGTAAAGTTAAGATGTATTTATTTTACTTTTTAATTCCAAAAGGAAAACAAATTCCCTAAGTCAGTCTTTCAATAAAGTACCATTTTCCTCAACTTTTAAATTGTGAGAGAAATTTTCAGTAATACAAGCAACTGAAAAATACCTACTATTGACTAAAAGAATTTGATATTAATAATATCAGATATATCTAACTGGTACTGTTCCTTATGTCAGTTCCTGGAGGAGAGGAGGAATGGGGCAATGAAAGGCAGATGGTGCCCTTCTGGACACTGGCAAGGTCTTGAGTGCTGGCAAAGTCAACCCCTCCCTCTTGTGCAGACTTTCTGAAGTGCAAGTAGTATGTAAAGTGTGTAAGAAGCTGATGTTGTAGGTGTTTTTAATTTAGATATAACACACAGCAATGAAACATGGGCTTTCCTTCTGTATTTGTTATGAAGATGATAAGGGAAATATTATGAATATTTCTACTTATGAAGGGGAAGCTGACAATACCCATAGGTGAGGCAAATTAAGTCAAGGGCTAGTTACACTTGTAAGTAAACACTTGTTCTGACTGGAGAGACTTGTTGACAGGACTCCAGTGCTAACCCCCTCTAGTTTATTGGAAAACACATAGAAGAAAGATTGAAGAAGGAGCTCCTAGAGAGGGATGGAGAGGGTGACACGCAGCTGGATGACTGAAAGCTATGTCTGTAGTTTGATAAAGCTACTCTGAGAGAAATCTATCTTCCTTCAATGGAAGAGTAAAGGCAACAGTTAGAAATAAGCTGTAATAAGCTGTCTTTTTAAACAAGTCAAGTGTTGAAGCTGCCCTTTGAGCATTTGCTAATCCTATTCTAGCTGGAGTGGGTTAGATACAAGCATCTCTTGACTAGCCCAGCTGATGTTTGAAGTTGTCTGTATGAGAAATAGGAAAATGCCCACTTTGAGTAAAGGTATAATTAATCCCTTAGGGTCTGGATGTGGAGCCTTTGGCAACTGTGATGAGTTGTGCACACTTTTTAATGTGTCTCTGCCTTTTGCTACTCGTGTTTCTGAGAGACTCTCAGACCATTGTGTGATTCTTACCGCCTGATCCACTCCTTTCTCTCTTCTGGTTTCAGCTGGTAATGCAAAATAGGGTTTTTTCTCCATTCTAAAGCAAGGGTTCTATGGTGTAAAAAGAAAAAAAATGCTAATGTTGCCTTTAATTTGACATTGTCCTGCCATGTCAGTCCTGTATTGCTTTTGATTGCAGATGAGTCAAAACATGCAGGGCAATCAGAGGGCTGGAGGTGAGGATTATGCCTTGCTGTCATTGGAGTTCCAGGGGCAGTAACCTTGTGGGCCTCCAAACCTAGGTGCCTGGAGCCCTGCTCTAACTGGAGCCTAACTGGGCAGTGAACTAGCTAAGCCAGACTTGAGCACCTCTACAAACAGAGATTAACTCGTGCTGCTTTATGTGCTGACATACATCCCTTGGATTTAAGTACAATGGATGTATGTACAGTTAAATCTCTGAACTATAAAAATTGAATGCTATGTTGAAAGCATGAGACTTCCATAGCAGCTTCATCTGCATATTGGTTGATGTTGTTCATACTCATGCATAAAAAAAACTTTAACAGACCATTATATATTCTTCCTCTATAATAAACTATAATGCCCTTCCAGAATCAGCGGAAGCACAGCAAACACGTTTATACTAACAGAAGCAAGTGTTAAATTGTCTTGTTTAATACTAGCAGGAAGCTGATGGGAATATCCTTGTAACTGATGCAAGACTGAAATGTGTGCAAAGCTGCTGCTGTATGTAATGTCACCCTTGCTGGATTTCCAACTTTTTAATTTCCTGGTGATGGGTTCTAATTGATGGTCTAGAGCAATGCAAATAAGTTGTATTCAGATGGTAGCAGCTTGGATCTTTTCTTATAACCATAACTGTACTTTAAAAAAGTAGATGTGACATAGAAGTTGGGTCAAGTTATCTAAAAATCACAAGCAGGAATTCTTTTTTTCTCATTTATGTTACTGCTGTGTAAAAGAGCAGAAGCCGATTTGGAAACCTGTAAGTTGGATGGTTTGGGGTTTTTTGCTTTTATGAGGTCTTCAGTATTGTATTTTCTCCCACAGTACTTCCAAGCCACAGCCTCAAAGGCACTATGGAATTACCTCCCCGATTAGTTTGGCTCCTCCTAAGGATATAGATTGCATTCATACTCAGAAGCTGATTGAAGCAATGAAGCCATTTGGTGTGTTTGAGGATGAGGAAGAACTGAATCACAGGTATAACGACTAAAATTTGTTAACGTCTTGGGGGTTTTCTCTTTTTAAGGGAAACTTAATGTGACTTTTCTTTATAGGATGGTTGTTCTTGGTAAGCTGAATAACTTGGTCAAAGAATGGATTTCAGAACTTGGTCAGAGCAAGGTAAGGGTTTTTATATGTTCTTATCAAAGCAGCTGAAGCCTTTTTATTTCTTTTAAAAGCCATACTACTAGGAATTATGCTAAAATTCAGCTTTTAACTTCCTTGAGTTTTGAGTAGAGCTGTAGTAACTGCCATTGAAATAAGATATAAAAGATACTTAAGATAAAGATCCCAAAGTCTTTGAGGCACTAATTAAATTTGTGAAGTGGCTCTATCAGTTAATAAAGCCAAACCATCATATTGTGGAGTGAGATAGATGGCAAATGGGCAGTTATCTTGCCCCAAGCTGCCTACAGCGCTCAATCTAGAAATTATTACTCTAGACTTAGCTCTTAGGTAGTGCTCATGTATGTGTATGCTGCAGGGAAGACTAATAATAGGTCTTAATTCATGTAAATTAATGAAAGGACTGCTACATCTTATTTTGAGTTGCAAGCACTCACTTTAGAAAAAGTATCTTAGAATAACAGTATATCAGACTGTAACAGTCTGTAACAGTATATTAGACTGACAGCTCAGTACAGGCATGAGAAGACAGTGTTTATGGAGGCTGTTGTAGTCTTTCTATATAATTTGTATTCTAGTTAGAGTTGCACATAGGTCAGTGTATATCTCCAAAGTAAGCTCATGTTCTCTTTTCACCCACAGAATCTTCCCCCTTCAGCAACAGCAAATGTTGGTGGCAAAATATTTACATTTGGTTCTTACCGCCTTGGAGTACACACTAAAGGTACAACTTTCTCACTGTTTGGTCATATGTCTAATGTTTGAAAGTGACTTCCAACAGTAACAGAAGAAATGGTATCTCTTTGCAGGTGCTGACATAGATGCAGTTTGTGTTGCTCCTAGACATGTGGAAAGGTCGGATTTTTTTCAGTCATTCTTTGAAAAACTGAAACATCAGGAGGAAATAAAAAATCTGAGAGTGAGTAAACTCTCTATTTGATAGATTGTGCAAATATACCATAAGAATATTCATGTTAAGGGCTCGTATTTGTAGTGAACGACTTACAAGCCAAAATGAAAACCAAAGTTGTTTCTGAGCACCTTCTAAAATACTATTCTATGCAGCATGAAAATGTCAAAGTCGAGCTTTTGGTTCCTTTACCAATGACTGTATGCTATATAAGAATCTTTGTAGTACACTTCTGTCCTACCCATGGTTTGGGAATGAGCTGTATCAAAAAGCAAAGTTTTCCCTAAGAGCCTTGCTTTAAGCTTAGATCTAGTAAGGAGCTTGGAAACAAGGTAATTGTGTGCAGGAATAGGAAGGGGCAGCCTGAAAACTAAGGAAGTTGAACGTGGTATGGAAAGGCTTCTGTCAGTATGCCTTCCTGGATGTACTTTAGGACCTCTGGTTTATACTTCTGTGGTCATGTTCCTCTCTGACTACTCTGCCTGAGATGTTACAGAATGGATGCACACAGTCAGCTTTGTGTAAAGCTATGGGAGGTGTGCTGTAAACATACAACACTGCTTTGTCATTCACCCTCAGGTGCATATGTTGTGTACCTTGCATGTAAAACTGAACTCCCAAGAAGCATTTCTCTTAGCCTACTCTTCCCCATGTAGGCATTTTGAAAGAAGCCTTTGCTTAGATGGCTGTCACCTGAAAGCAGACTTGCAGCCACACAGTTCTAACAAGTGGTCTACAACATTGAAAACTGTCCCATAAAGTAGCTGACAGCATCTCAGGCACATCAGAAAATAACTAGTGCACACTGTCAAATATGGACAGAAGTTTTTTAGATTGCTTCTACCAAGTAGTAAGATAGCTTACAGGAATCTCTTGCTTTTCTTTCTCACTACCAATGTGAGTACCTTACAACCACAGATACTTGTGGCTCATTGGACTGTTTGTCCATTACAATACATGATCAGCCTCTGAATCTCATGGCTAATTAACTTTTTTAAGCTAGCATTAGTACTGTATTAATACTATACTGCTTGTCGCTTATTAGTAATTGTTTTGGTTTGGAAGCAGCTCAGTCTTCATAGTGAGTAGTTTAGCAGTGTAAATTCTGTATTTTATCATTTAGTTTAGGAAAAACGTTCAAGTAGCAAAAAGATGTTTTCTTACAGTTATCTTCTCCTTCACAGGCAGTTGAAGATGCATATGTACCAGTTGTCAAATTTGAGTTTGATGGAATTGAGGTAAGAATTTTATGCGTGTTGTGACTTTTAAGTGAGAATTCATTTTCTTGCTTTGGAATAGGATAACTTTTCTAGGTATTTGTGACTGCTATTTTACAAGGTTATTGGTACATTATAGTGTATTTAGGAAATTGTAATTAAACAGCTTGACCACAACCTATCCCAGTAGAAGACACTGCAGTACAATTGGAGCTTGTAGGAGAACAAGCCCCTGGGAAGCCTGGCAGGCATGAGAACAACATCTTTTTCTGGCCTTTATCAGATTCAGACATTCACAGAACAATTTTCTTGCCTCAGACTGTACTGAAAAACCAGATTCTTAAGGATCAAAAGGGCTTATTGCATAAAGAAAATGCATTCTCCTTTGCTGAAGTATAGTTGAGGCAATTGAACTTATGTCTTAATTCTATGATTAAAGTTCCTTTTAATAAAATTCCAAGTTTAGAGTAATCTTAACTTGAAAAAACAACCCCTTCCTTTCCCTAGCTTAAAAAGAAAGGGATAAGACACAGAGGGCTTTGTAAATAAAATATGGAACTTCTAGCAATTCTATTGGATTTCTTGACAAATAAATCTCCTGGGATATGTTTCTGTAGTCACAGAATTCTAAATACGAGTGCTAACCACTCTTTTTTAGACTTGCCTAACTGTCCCCCCCACTAGTGTGCTGTTTGCAAACAGTACAACATTCTAAGTCATGGTTGGCACCTTTTCCTCTTCAGATTGATCTTGTCTTTGCAAGACTGTCTATGCCAACTATTTCTGACAATCTTGATCTCGGAGATGACTCGCGTCTGAAAAGCCTGGATATAAGATGTATCCGTAGCTTGAACGGTAAGTGTATTTAAACATCTTTACAGTGTCATCTGAGGAGGTGGTGAGAGGGCTTAAACTTAGGTATTTCAAGGAGTTAGGTGTTTAGATAGACCTGTATTTCAGGTTTCTTTGATTGGGGGTGTGCATTGTTCCAGGTTGCCACAGAAGGTGCTTCAGATGCATAGGTAGAGCACTTGAAAGAGAACAAAGTGTGGTAGTTAATAAAAGAATTGGATATTTAAAATACCTGAAGCCTAACTTGCTCATTGTTTAACACTTAAGCAGTGGCTTAATTGTTCCTGGCTGCCAAAAGAATCCTAGCTTTTGGAATCCTGTAGAAAGGCCTTACTGAAAGTTGCTGGCTACAGTGTAAACTATGAAAAAGCTAAGGGTACCAGCTGCCTGAAGCAATAATGTATGTGTAATCTATGATTCTAAGGTAATACAAAGCAAGTGATCCAGACTTGTTTTCATAACTTAAATGATAAACTGTGAGCTCCTGATCCAGTATAGCATAAAACTGACCTGTAGCTGTTATTAGGAACTTCTGCACTTCAAGTTTTTCTCTTGCAGGCTGCAGGGTTACTGATCAAATACTGCGTCTGGTGCCAAACCTAGAGAACTTCCGTCTCGCTCTCCGTGCAATTAAACTGTGGGCAAAACGTGAGTAATGCGATTGTTCATGATCTTTAAACTTTTCAGAGGCACCTCATGCTGAGAAAATAAGACTGTTAGAAGTCCTTCAGCTTTGGGTAGTTGCTTAAATGACAGTTTTTAAACTAAACCTGTCATTTTTAGTTTAGATTCAAGTCTGTTCATGTGGTAGATTCTGTGTGGTTTTTAATGGGAGTGGAGTGGGGAGGAGAAGGGAGTGACTACAAGACAAGGTGCTGCATTGCTTATCAGGAACCTGACTACAGATGATAGGAATACCAAGTTAAGTATAAAACATGATACATAATGAATAAGAAAATAATGTTTGTGCTAGAGCAAGGGGTAGAAGAATGGCAGGACTTTTTTTCCTGAAGGGAAGTTGGAGTGAGGTAGTAGCTGCAGAGTGTAGGCAAATTTCAGAGTAGCAGTAGTTTTGGAGGTAGTGTGATAATAATTCTTATCACTGCAAGGACCAGCAATTTTGGCCTCATTGCACTCCAAAAATAACTGTCTAAGGCTGAAGCATATTAAGTATGCTGTAGATTGTGAAGTTGGTGCTGTAAATTTGAAAGAATATATTTGGGTATTAAAAGACTACACATTAACTACAATTTATCTATTCTAGGCCGTGGCATTTATTCAAACATGCTGGGATTTCTTGGTGGAGTTTCCTGGGCGATGCTAGTAGCAAGGACATGTCAGCTCTATCCAAATGCTTTGGCTTCTACTCTGGTTAACAAGTTCTTCTTGGTTTTTTCAAAATGGTAAGGGCAGTTGTTTGTTTTACCTTGCATAAAGAAGTAATGTTTCCAGAAGGAGTTCTTTATATAAAGATTTACATTGACAACATTCAGTCTTACTCTGAATTACATGGCAGACTTGAAAACAGTTAGTTAGTTAGTTACTGGCTTTTTTTATATAGGGAATGGCCAAATCCTGTATTGCTGAAACAACCTGAAGAGAGCAACCTTAATTTACCAGTATGGGATCCAAGGGTAAGTAGACATCGAATTCAGAAGCCTTTAAATTTTCTTCTAACCTAAACTGATGCTAAACAGACTGGTTCTAACATCGTAGGTGAACCCGTCAGACCGGTATCATGTCATGCCTATCATCACTCCAGCCTATCCACAGCAGAACTCCACATACAATGTGTCTCCGTCAACACGGGCCATAATGGTAGAGGAATTCAAACGTGGTAAAGTCTTTTTCCATGATGATTATCTGATTTTTAAAACATAATTCTTGCTATCTGAAACCTCATTATCTGAACTGGATATGTTCTGTGAGGTGTTCTGCCCTTTTAGGTAGAATAGGTCTCTGGGAAGTTCACCTGTTGCAGGCAATAAGGGAACAGTTTCACAATGAACTGTTGTAGACCTGCATGGTGTCAAGGGACTCCCAGCTTTTTGAGCTGTCAATTACGGTTCAAAACCTTAATCTTGTGAAGTTTATATCATGCTCTGCTAGTCTTAAAAACAAAATGGTAATAAGGTTTTCTACCTCCGTTGTAGGTCTTGCAGTTACAAATGAGATTCTCCAAGGGAAATCGGACTGGTCAAAACTCTTTGAACCCCTGAACTTCTTTCAGAAATACAAGTATGTATGAAATCTGTTGTCTGAACTTGAAATGATGTACTTACTGGTTGCATAGTGAGTTTTAACTTGCAGTCTAAATAGAACATAGCATAATGCTTTTTTCAGAAACTAGAAGTAGTGTCATATGAATTTTGGTAAGAATAAGTATAGGGAAGATAGAAAAACTGTACGTGTTATGCCACAGACACTGTTTTTATTAGGAAAAAAATCAACTATCATACTTGGAATGTAGCAGAATGTAATTCTAAAGGATGAAATCACTTAATACTGTGCTGAATACAGGATATAATCTGTCTTGTCTGGAAGTTGTATTCTATACATGTAAGGCAGTTTCTTTCACTTGAAAGAATATATAGTCCTGAACTAGCATGTTAATTTTCCTTCTAGACATTACATTGTACTGACTGCTAGTGCTTCTACAGAGGACCATCACTTAGAATGGTAAGTCTTGCTTTAAATGGAGTTCAGTACATACTTGAAACTGAGCTTAGTGTTGAACTTCATTTCTGTTATCTGTATTAACAAATGGAGTATTAAGCTGGGCAACTAGGAATGCAGTACAGCAGTAAGTTGAGTAGACAGTTGACCAGCAAAAGTAAAAGCTTTTTTATGAAGGCAAGTAAACATAAATCCAAGTCATGATGAGAAGGAACAAGGAGGGTTAATGTGTGCGTGCCTGAAGGTTTGATACTCTGTGTCACGTGGAGCAGCAGATACAAGGAGTCTAAGGAGACTGCTTACCCAACACTACTTCAGCTAGTAGGAAGATATTCCTTGTTTCAGAGACTGAAGCAAATGGATTAATCAGTGTAATCAGTTGTGTAATGGACACTGTTGAGCCTGATCCTCTATTGACTTTACAGAGCAGTTGTCTCCAAACTTTTTTGATCCTGCGCTCCTATCAGCAAAAACTTCTGAACATGAACTTAAAATATATATCTCTTATTTACAAGTTACGTACACCTAACTGAAGTTCTAACGCTGTTTTCCTGTGTCAAGTAGATCCATTTGATTATTAAAGGAACTATATTTTTCGATTTGGAAAGACTAAACTTTTTTCACTGATCAATCTGCAGGAGGAGTTGCATCTTAGTTGTAATTGAACAGTTGTCCTTAAGCCTTTTCTGAACTGCTCTTGTCATTGATCTTTGGGGTAAAAAGGAGTTTTGCTGCACTTGAAAATTCAACCAGAGGTGCTAGTACCTGCTTCTTGTTGATAGTTTCATCATAGACTGTAGGTTGAAGTACTCTTAACAGTTCAGACCTGGTATAAGTTAAACTTGCTTATTTCTGTCTTTTGGAAGTCTTAAAGCTCACATGTCACTGGAAACATCTTAAACTACAATGTGTGTGATACAAAAATCCCGTACCTGCTCAGCTAAATGAAGCTTACCTCATACTTGTTTGTTAGCTTTTCTGTATTAGCATTGTATTATAAAAAGGCATATAACTTCTGTGCTGGATACAGTTAAAAATGAGTAAATCTCTTGTTCTTCTTAGGATTGGCCTTGTCGAATCTAAAATTCGTGTCCTGGTTGGAAACTTGGAGAGGAATGAATTTATAAATATGGTACATGTGAAGCCACAATCTTTTCCTGGCAACCAAGAACTCTGTAGACAGTGAGTTTCACTACTTTTCTGAGATACAGTTTGGCCAGTGTATTGTAACTTGTTCGTATTCACCTCGGCTTATCTGTGAGATGTTCAGTGGAGTACCTACTATTTTGTAAGTATTTGCTCTGACAGGCAAGGTTCTGAGCATGTAAGATCAAGTACTCTGAGACCTGAAGTATGAGCTGACTAACCTTTATTTGCTGTGTACAACTAAACTGTTTTGCTTAGTCCCTTCTTGAGAGTAGATGCTAGCATCCAAATAAATGGTCTCTGTGCATAAATGATTTGTGAATCTGCCTCTTTAGGGGTGAACATGTATCAATGTGGTTTCTTGGAATCGAATTTAAGAAAGTGGAAAATGCGGAAAGTATTAACGTTGATTTAACTCATGTTGTACAGTCATTCACAAGTACAGGTAAGCTTATATTTTGCTCTAGTCTTGTAGGGTTTCATTTTTTTGACTGCAGTGGAAGTTGCTTCACAAGGTGAATTGTGCCTTCATCTGGTATTAGCTATTAGATATTTCTGTAGAGCAACATAGATTAGCTTTCAAGTAAGTTCACCTTGAAACAAAAGTGACTGCTACGGTCATACACTGTAACACTATATGTGAAATAACAGTTCTACAGATCATAGTGCAAACACTCACAAAGAAACTTGAATTTACTTCGAAGCAACTCTTCATATTGGTGTGGATGTCTATATTTAGGCTTTTATTAAATTTCAAGGTCTTTTGTTACATGGCCTTAGTTTGATTCCCACTCTGTATGTTCATAATCTGGCTTTCCAGTTACACTCATGATAGGTCTCTTTACACAAGCTTATCTAAATGTGGCTTAGTTCTGTAATAACTGCTGTGCTCATATAGCATTTTCAAGTTGCATAAAAGGCTGCTTGCAGGCAGTTAAGAACAACCTGTTTAAATTATAGTGATTCTGCTAAGTCAGATGTCTCTAAAATCCAGTCTTGCTTTCTTGGACAGATAGAATTTTAACACTTAAACTACTGAGAAGTTATATGATGTTACAGAACAGTTACAAAAACCCCACACAATCACCACTGAATATCAAATAAAAAATGAATCTGAATCTGGTGTCATGAGCTGTGCACAATTGGGTTGGTTCAGAATGATTCAGAAAGTCCTCTAGATGTATTCTCAATTCTAGATCTATTAGTTTTTCATTAGGAAAACTAATCTCCTTTGGGTTAAAATCAGCTCAGATGTGAGCTGCGTTGTTAGCAAACCACAGCTGTAGCTGAGCACATAAATGCATATTTGAACTTTAATAGCTGTTAAATATCTGGCCTGTGCTGGATGTGAAATGGGCATCTTAAGTCACATTAATCTTAAGACTATCTGGAGTGCTTGGGTAGCATTTTGTGTTCAGTTAAGCTTGAAACTTCTTGCTGTCTGGGCTGGACAGATTGGAGGCTTGCTCTTCCTAAAGAAACATGTAACTTTGACAAATACCTAATGCAAAAATCCTCACTAAGCTACAACACGCTCCCATGTTAGTTTACCGGCAGGCTAGCAACCTCAACGTGCTAAAGGAAGGAATGAAGATTGAGGCAGCTCATGTGAAGAGAAAGCATCTCCACTATTTTTTGCCAGCTGAAACCATTCAGAAAAAGAAGAAGGTATCATAAAAATTTGACTTTTTTGGCAATTTTTTTGTTCTTTAATTACTTGAAGACTTCATTATTTATTTCTTTTTTTTAACTGTTGTTTCAGCAAAGTATGCCAGATGTTAGTAAAAATGCCTGTGAGCTTCAGTGCAAAAGGACTTCTTCAGATGGAAACTGTTCGGGCAATTCCAGAGACAAGGACTTCAGAACTCCATATAATTCCTCTGTATTAGATAAGATAACTAAAATGGACACATCTACAACAGAGATGAAAAGGTTAGACCTGGAAGAAGCTGCTTTTAACTGACATGCAATGTGAACTAGGTCTTACATTTCTTGTTTGAATATATGTGGAGGGCTTCAGGAACAAAGCTGGAATCTCCTTTGGGCATGTGGGGGAAGACACGTTAAAGAAATCATTGAAAAAATGAGTGTACATGAATGCATAGGAATGAAGAACTGTTTGATACCAGAGAAATTATTTGGACTTGAATAGCAATCCTATTAGGTTAGTGTGTAACTTGAAGCCGGCATATATGATGTGTAGCTAACTATTCTTTCTTAAAAGCAAGTATAATTAATGCCAAGCAGTATTAAGTGCTAATGAAGTGCTGACCTTGATCACTGCTGCTGACTTGGTGGAGTGTATAAAAGCTTGGGTACTACAAGTGACTCTCCCTTCCTGGGAAGTCTGTTTGTCCTTAAGCTACTTCAGCGCAGGAGGAATATGTAATCTTGAGAGAAACAGCCCAGCATTTCCATATGTGTGATGCCTGCTGTGTTCAGACAGTTGGGTACTGTAGGATTAGCATGAAAAAAACCCACAATCCAAAAAACAATTGGGTGCATGTATGGGTAGAGCAGATCCATTCATTAAAAGCAGCACAAGTGCTTGATATACTAAGCTGAAAACCAGTACCAATACATAGACTCACTAAAGAAAGTGCTGAAGTTGAAATTCACGGTCTGAAGTCCAGGCAAACAGGGGAAGTTCAGATTAGATAGAAGGAAGAAATTCTTTACTGTGAGGGTGGTGACACTGGAATGGGTTGCCCAGAGAAGCTGTGGCTGCCCCATCCCTGGCAGTGTTTAAGGCCAGGTTGGACACAGGGGCTTGGAGCAACCTGCTCTAGTGGAAGGTGTCCCTGCATGTGGCAGGGGGTTGGAACTGGATGATCCAAAGGTCCTTTCCAACCCAAACCATTCTATGAGTCTAAGAAAATTAAGATCTCATACTAGTTTGCCTCTGATTTTGTGTTGTTTAGTAGAGCTGTGACAATGAGCTAAGCAGGTAGATATTTGTCTTGCATGAACTTTCTGGAAATATATAGTGTTTCGCAACTATCATTTTCTAACTCTGGTGCCTGACTTTTACAGAACTGCTGTATATCAGAGATCCAATACCACTAACAACAGAGAGAAGATACCTCTTGGAGCTGTGCCATCAGCATCCACGACATTCTCTATGCCTGTTGCTGATTCAAGTATGTGTTGAAGTAGTGGGTGGAATGCAGTCTTTAATTGCAAGGCTGAACTCTAAAACCTTGTTACGTCCTGCAGAAATGGAGGCTACACTCGGAATAAGAACATCAGCACCTCTAACTGGTTGCATCATTTCAGAACATAACACAGTTTTTAAAGTAGGACCACATTTTGGCCAAGGGCAGCATGAATTAACTGGGAGTCCAGTTACAGACCCAAAGAATACTGCCTCTAAACGACCTTATTCACCCACCTCAACAGGAGATGAACGCCCCAAAAAAATTACGGATGGAGAAAAGGTAAGAAAGAGGGGCTGGGCCAGGCCTGCCAGGGTTTGAATTAGTATCATTGATGTAGAATGCATGAAGTGACTGAGAAGAAATGGATGTATAGTATATACATCCCCAGCAGATTCAGGAATCTAAATTTAAGCATAATAATAGCTTCATTAGGATATAGATGTGAGAAATTGTCTTGAATATAATATGAGCAATTCAAACAGACTGTTTCGGGTCTGGTAGCAGGGTCTCTAAATTCTACTGCACTTACATATTACTGCCTCCTTTGGAAGCAGTTCTTGAAACAATTCAGAAAAAAGCTATCTCAAAATGAAGAGCATATGAATATATAACTGTGAAAGTATGAGCTAATCTTGTTCTGGCAGATGACTTTTGAATGCCTATTGGTAGTTCTGCTGCTTTAGAATTGAGCAGTCTATTTGTATGTCATCCACTGCTGAAATGACAGTGTGGAGTTGCTTGTTAAACATAAATCTAAAGCTTCCACAAGAACAAGACTTAATTTGTTTTATTGCTACATATATAAATCTCCCTAAATAGCTTGACCTCTGTTTGAATCAAAGAACAACTAGAGAAACCTGAATTTTGACACTTGTAAAGAACCAAGGTTTTGGGTAGTAAGATATTTGAAAGGCTTGAGATTCCTGTGTGGTAATGGTAGTCTTGTGGAAGTGTTGTTTTAAGGATGGCCACTAATATATTTGTGTTGACCGAAGCTGTACCCAAATATGAAGGTAACTTGAGCATAGCAATTAATTTGACTCTGTATATTCTGTTCTTCCAGCGAACTGGACAGGACTCAGCATTCAAAGATTGTGGCAACCCAGAAGATGTCATGAGAGCTACAGGAAATGTAATTCTCAAATGCTTTTTACTCAGACTGAAAAGCTGAATGGGCTGTTCTAGTGCCTAGACATACCCCACATAAATACTCTACACGTTTACTGATGTAAACAAAAATGTGCTTTTTAATTTAACTCATTTCAGTCTTCATTTTGCCAATATTACACCTGTATGACCTATCTCTTTAAATCTACTACTACTAGATGATTTGGTAGTATCTAGCTTCTTGCCATGCTTGAAATCAGATTTTATTTTGTTTTAAGCCACTTGGTTCACTAATGTAAACTAAAAGACTAAAGCATTTGGCCTCTCAGAGGGAGGATAAAGAGCTTTATATTTAGTTTAGCTTGCTCCTGAAGCATAAACTCTTGAGGACGCACCCTCAAATGAAGATGTGATCTTGTTGGTAGAATGAAGGTTGAAATAGCTGAAACACTGTATTTGTAAGCTTATAGGGCTTAAGAAAACACTGCCTAATAAATCCCTTCTGGCTTTTTTTAGGACATGTTTGGAGGAAAAGCCATGCTTGCTCCAGTCATCCAGACAACAAGATCACAGGTATTATATATTGTGTCTACATATTCATAGGTAAATCAAAAGTAGAATTTTAATTTTTTGTGTAAAGACTTAAGTGTTATTAATCCCTGTAAACTTGGTGGTTCAAAGTAGTTGGTAAGCTTTTACCTATCATGCTTCCACCAAACTGAATAACTGAACCTTCCAGGTATACTCTCGAAAGTGAAGCCAAAGCTTCCAAGTTACTGAACTTTGAAAACAGTGTTTCCTTCCACTGGAACACTGACACAGTTTGTTTCCTCACTTCCTTCTTGAGCAAAAAGACCTGTACAAAAAGACCTTGCAGGTTTTCCATAAGGAGCTCTTAATTATCTCAAATTCTTGTATACTCATTTCTGTGACAAGGCTTGGAAGCTTTGGAGCGTATAAGTGGCTTTACCTCTTCTGTAAAAGTAATCTAGACAGTAGAGACACTCCTGATCCATGGGTCTGAGGAGAATGGTAGCTTCCTCTATTATGCTACTAAGCAACTTGCAACTTCTTTCCCCTCCTCAGGAATATAATTATCTCAGTTAATGCCAGGAAAGAAATGTGCAGAGGGGAAACTACTCTTCCTCTGTAAACTGGTGATAACAAGTGATGTGGTAAAAAATCCTTTTCTAAACATTTGGGTTTGGGCCATACTGGTTTGGTACATAAAGAACGTTATATTCAGCTAGGAAAGGGTTTATCTGCTGCTACTTCTGAATTAATGAATTCAAAACATCCCTTTTTTTCTTTTTCTCTCTTTGTGTGGCATCTTTTTGTGTGTTTTAGAGGCTTTCCAGTAAAGAACTACCAGATTCTTCATCTCCTGTTCCAACAAATAGTATTCGTATTATTAAAAGATCCATCAAACTTACCCTTAATGGGTAACCAGTTTCTCTTCGAGTAAAGATGGAAAGCACTTTAGAGATCCATATTATCAACGTGTATTGTAGTTACTAACAAGAATATGGAAGGTTATTCTTGCCATACTGCAACTGGCCAGTTAAAATCATGGTCTTATTTTATAGTGTTGTTCAATGCTTTGAATTATTCTTTGCATATTCTTGTAACAGTTTATACTTATTAGTCTTTTTAAAAGTCTTAGTTGTCACTTGCTGAAACAGCTTTGGAAAAAGCAACAAAAAGTGACCTGTCCTGTGACTTGGGATTCAGAGTGTATGTAAACAGGGTTGGTTAACTAGTCACTGCAACCACATTCTGATTTCAAGTGTATATGAACGTGCTTGTATTTATTTGTGCTTTCCTAGTTCATGTGCATCTATTGTTCTTATCTTAAATTATTTTCCCATTTGGCACATCCACTCCTGTGCATCTATTACAATGGTGCACAGCTTCCTCAGGTAGTAGCTTTCCACTGTCTAGCACAGCCATGCACTACACAAGTATTGCCTCCCATGGAGGCCCATAAATAATTTGAATATTGAAGGGAACGTAGCAGAGGATGGTACCCAGGTATGGAAATGATGGACGTGTCTCAAGCCATGTTATCTGATTTTTGTCTTTAAGACTGCTCCACCATGAGACTTGTTGTTTTTTTGTTGTCACTGGGTAGTAAAGCTAAAGTTGGAATACACAGCTGAAGATGCACCTAAACATGGACACAGCTGAGGCTGTTGTGACACTACTACCTACCTGCAAGCTGCAGTCTTGAAAGCAAGTGACATGCAGAAAGTGGCTTCAGATAAACCCTGAAAGCTGTTCTGAATGGGTACATGAAAACTTGTAGTAGTCTGGTTCTGTAAACTGGTAACACACTGCTTACCCAGTTAGTGCATCAGGGGTTTTGAGGGATGGGGAGAAATTCTGATCATAAGAAACAAATGTTATGCTAATCTCTCTCTTGTAAGTTCTTTGTAATTTGGTGGTTTTGTAGATGAAGTTGTATGTTTTCCAGAGTATTTTTGTATGTGCTGTAAAATAATATCTTTCAAAGAGAAATTCAAAATCTTCAGCCTCTTCTTTTCAATGCAGATGGGATCTGCTTAAAAAACCCAAGCAACTAAACCAAGTGTAAGGCACGTTTAAGGGGGAGCAGTGCCATAAAAAATACATTCCACAAAATGATAACCTCATGCTAGAATAAATAAGGAGAGCAAGAACACTGCTTCCCTGCTTCTAGTATTTCCAGGTTTGGAATTAATGCTCTCTGAATAGTGCGGTTTGAGAACTGCCTTGACAGATGAGGTCCCAGTTTGGGATCCCAGATCGTTGTGGGCAACGGATCCCCCTGAATTCTTTTAAAATCAGTTGCTTGGCTTAAAGAGCAATTCTGAGCTCTAATCATCTTAAGCACCCACCAAAAACCCTAGGACAAGACTATAAAGGCATAGAAAGAGGCATGTATCTTGCAAGGTCTTCATTCTTTAGCATTCACTCTACTGCTAGTATTCCAAATGTGTGGAGGAAGTAATATTTATCACAATATACTTATTTTTTTCCATCATTACTTTTGGTTTCCACCTTGCTTCAAGTGCAACTTATCTCTTGGCATTAGTGAATTTGAGAGGTCTTATTCTTCCCTCTTGCCTCCAAAAAATACCCCAAACTTAGACTGCAAGGCCTATGTTTACTCACAGGTTAAAATTAAACAGTACCCATGTTCCTTCAGTGGCTTTTAGCAGAACCAGTTTATAAACTGGTTTTGTGGCCTGTATTAAAACTAAGGTATTGAAATATTGACAAGCCTATGTAGTAGAGTGTGTATATACAACTTCAGCACCTGTGTAAATAAAAATCCAACATGAATTTGAAGGAATTCAAGCTGAAGCAGGTGATAAGAGAAACAACAGAGCAAATAGGAAAAGTGTTACAAATAGTCTACAACCCTGTAATATTACCATGCTTTTAAACATCTTCCACTTGAGTATTCCAAGACTGTTATGGGCTGTTTTGCCCTTAACCTCTATGTCAGCACATGCATTTATGCACTTAGTCTCATATTACTCTAGCTAATAGATAGAAAGTATATGCCTTTACTAAGATCTTTTTTTCACTCTTGTTTTGCAGTTACCTTCTAATTGCTCTTACTTTTTATTTCCCTCACTCTTAGGATTTTAAGAAGAATTTTTAGGAAGAATTTAGATTACTAGTTTCTCGGACTTGATTCAACATCTCTGAGATTACACTCTCTATTTTACTACTTCCTGACTCACTACTTGGCCCAGTGCAGAGTGACATCACTGTTCTGGAGTTTCCCTGGATGTGGCAGAAGTTTGATACTACCCTCAGATTATGCAGATTAGTTTTCAGCTATTTTAAATAAAGACACTTTGACAATTCACCTTTAAATGTTTTCCTTTGTTTATACACTAAGTTCTCTATTAGAGTGATTGAAAGGAAAGTTACTTATGCAGAAAGGCTCAGTGAGGGAGGCTCTTTGATATCACACTTCCTGCAAACTGCTGTTTTCTATCTACTCTCTTAGCTGGTTGCTGAGTGTGTGGGGCTTGGAGGATGGAACCAGCCGGAGGGATGCATGGTCAATCTCCTAAAGAGGAGCAGCTCTATATTGAAATAGTGTATGATTAGTAACTTTGAGCAAGAAATTCTATTGCAGGAATTAACATTTCCTGTGGTTTCACTTGTTAGAATCAAGCAAAGAAACAGTTAATGTGAAGTCACCTACGCTTCTGCTGTTGCAGTGGATGTCCCTGTAGAAACCGAGAGAGAAAGTAATACTTTTTGCCTTAATGAGTAAAAAGCAAATGGGGTTGGGGAAGGAAGTTATCTTGAAACTGTTAATCTTGACTTCGTGAGGGAGGGGGCTTATTAATCCTGCCTTTATGTAACACTTGGTGACATAAGCTGTTTAGCCTAAAAAACACAAGCAAAAACTCCTAGCTGTATTTTTGCAATTGCCTCATCACACTTCTTATAAAGAGGCTGGTCTTAAGCTTTATTCCAGTAAATGAAAACCCAGAGCTGTAGTGTGTTAGGTATGTGTTTATGTATGTGCAGTGTGTTATGTATCTCTGCAGCCAAGGGGCTAAAACCCCCTCACACTGGAGGCACTCATGCCCTGTCCCCAAAGGGAATCGGGTGGCTTTGGGGCACCTCATCTGAGCAGTAACCCCCTCCTGTGAAAACAGGCATGTTTCTCTCCCCAGGACTACCCCAGGGGGTGGTGCTGTGTCCCTCCATGCCCCCCCTGCACTGTGGGTGCTGTGTGCCCTTCCCCTGATGGGGTGAAGGGAGCTGTGGCCCGGGCTTCCCACGCTGGGGATGGTTTCCTGCCCCAAGCCCTGTGGTGGGGGCAGGCTGGGGGCTGAGCTGCGTGTGCTGTGACGGTGCTGACATGCAACTGCACTGCTGCAGAGTGCTGCTGTGCTCTGATGTTGGGTGGCTGGGAAATGCCTCCTCCAACCCTGCCCACCAGCCTGGAGGTGTTGGGGGGACCAGTCCTCTGCTTCTTGGCCAGCTCTGCTGCTGCTGTGCTTTTCCTCAAATCCTGCTGGGCCAGGCTGGACTGAGCAGGGTACAGCAGGGTGTTTTCCAGCCTGGAGCTGAGTAGGGGGGCTATAGCACACTCCTTGCTGCTTCCTAATGTGGAGTTCCTGTGGCTGAGGGTTTCTTCAGCCATCATCTACCCCTTTGAGCATGGCTCAGGGCTCCAGGCTGCTGGACTTTGTATATTTCTTTTTGGAGGGGATCTTAGCAAAACAGCAGCCTGGGGGCTGATTTTTCTGTTTCAACATAGAGCCTGTTGATACCTCAGCTTTGTGACCTTCAAGAAATTGATAGAAAGTCAAACTAGGACTTCTTATCCTTGGCAGCTCCTCCTTGCTGGGAAGACCCTATCTGAATCATCCTGCTCTCTTCATCCAACCTTGTTTTTTGTTCACGCTTCATCTCTTTTCATTCCATCTGATCTCAGGTTCTTGCCTGTCTTCCTGTCTCTCCAATAAATCTTCCTTTCTCACCTAAATCCATCTTCACTTCCTCTGCATTTGAACTGGATGGCACTTTATTCTGTTGATAGAGTGAAAATCCCAGGAGTCCTGAAACCAGGGGAGAAATAACCTACCCTGTTTCAGTTTTAGTGTGTGGCAGCCTGGCAATCAACTGCCTGCTGCAGGGATCATCCAGCTCACTCTGCAGTACGTGCAATGGAGAGAAAGCTGGAAACTGGCTACTAAGCAAGTCTCGCCAGCATGTGTAAGTTCACCCCTTTCAGAGGTTCAACACATGCTCAGATAGGTGTGTTTTTTCAAAGGAAGAGCAAAAAGTCCAATATTGACACCAGCACAGCCCCTGGGTGAAATTTCATGTCCCTGTTTTTCAAATGTGAAGAAGAGTTTCTTAATAAAAGTGCTAAGAATTCTTTGAATATATTTATATTCCCCATGATCGTTCTTAGAAATGACTGAGTCATTTTTGTTCTGGTTTTCCTAAAAATCAGGTGGAGGCACAGTATATGTAATCATAGTCCAAAGAAATGTTTTTGACAAACTGGGAGTAACTGAAAATGTAACCTTAAAATGGGAAGTGTTGACTACCCATAACCAGCAAAGTGCATCGATGGTCATATTGCAAAAATAAAACATAGTACCTACTTACTAAACTAAGCTACTTAACTGAAGCTGGAGATGCTAGAATTTGTTTTGTCCCTGCAGATTTAATTCCACTCCATTTTTCCTCTGTGGTCACTTGCGCAGAACAGAAACTTATCATAGACTCTGTCTAAGTTGCATGCACACAGAGAAGAAAAGCTGAGGTTTGGTGAATCACTTGCTGTAGAAGTGCTTGGCTCTATGCCTTCAGCACTGTGTTAGTATGGTGCTTGTGAATTTTATCAGATTGCTTTTTCCTCTCTTACTACTTTGAGACCAAATTTACGTTTCATTCTGTACAGCCTCTTCTACTG